CCCAGTGGATATATATATAGTAAAAACAAAAGAGGACCCAAGACCCACCCTTGTGGAACTCCACAGGACAAAGCAGCCACGCCAGACATGATGTTATTAATATTCACATTAAAAGTTCGATCACTAAGATAGGAAGAGAACCACCTCAGGACAGTCCCAGAAAATCCCAACGACGGAAGGCGATTTATCAGAGTGATTTAACTAACGTTAAGCTGAATTAGGAAAGAGCAGTGGGTCATCACTGAAGACCTGAGGTTGAAAACATCGCCATAGAGGTGGCAAACACCACAATGTTAGGTTGGGTCACAGACCACCAGATGGGAACAGCTCACCTTTTTTATCCAGTAACCACATAAACAGCAACCAGGGGACAAAACCCACGGGGCCCCACAGCACCAGAACTGCGATGTCGGACTTGGTGAAGCCGTAAGCGTGAACGGCCGAGTTCTGGATAGGACCCCAGAAGTTCCACACCATTCCTTGCATGAGTCCTATCAAGGAAAACACGGTCAGAACCAGCCATCTTCTCCGGTACACTCTGCTGTTTACTGGTGGACTGACTGTCTCCGCTGGACGCGGGGCGAGAAGCTGCTCTCTTTCGGCCTCGGTGCTCGAACCGGCACCCATAGCAACTGTCGATGTGATAGTTCAGTTGAAATTCCTGTTTTAACGGCTGTACAACAATGGAAAACGGTCGTATCACAGATTTTTTTTGTCGACCTCACAAACAGCCGTTAGCGTCTGTTTCTGTCACTCTACTGCGCATGCCCAACAGGAAACCGTTTGGGACATGGAAACTGTAGTCATAGGTCCGCCATTTTGGCTCGTCTTCTCCGTTAGCTTGAGTGGAGCTGGTGCAGCGACCACAGAGCCGAAATGGAATAGATGCACAGTGACGTGTTTCTGACGTAAATGCAGACGTAGACTGTCATGTGAGTTTTGTTTGCTTCCGCCCAAACATCTATTGCACGTGTAGTGTAAGGTGAGCTCGCTGGTTTTCCAGAAACCCTTTTATTTCCGCGTAGCTAGCTAACGTTAGCTTTCCTGTGATATCCCTTTATTAAATGAGACTTGTCAATAAATTGATTAATGGTCTCATTGTTGTCTGAAACAAATCCAGTGTTGTGTTTCTAGCGCTTAAAGTTTGATAATATGAGATGCGCTCCCTAACCCACGTGAGAAAATATCTGTAACCACTAAAAGAACAAAAATCTAAGTAAGGTGCGTTTGTTTATAGACGACAAAGAGCGACTAAAATGGACTAACGGTAACCTTAACACAACTGGTTTAAAGAAGCTTAGTCTGTGTGGGAGTAGAACATATCGACCAATACTAGATTTGACAGGCCAATACCAGTATTGATATCTAAGATTTAGAAACTGGATGCATTTTAAAGCCGATATTCATTATTTAGCTTAAAAACATAACATTATCAAACATGTTTAACAAGAAAGCAAGACTTTTAACATTTGGAAAACTAATTTGTTATCTGGTGGATGTAATGATTGGACTGCCTATTATATGCAGTTTGACATTTATGTGCTGCAATTTCTTATTACTATATTTATTCTAATACCAATATATCTGTCACATGGGGTGTCATTAATTATGCAAACTGCAGTGCAGAGATATTAACTTCTAAAAGGTTTTGAGCAGGACTGACCTTTCTAACCAGTCAAGAGATTTTCAATTATTACTGCTCCATCAGTGCATTTTGTTGCATTTTAATTTCTTGTAATTTCATAAGAACGTATATGAAGAGCTGGGCAATGGGGCGAAGTGTAGCAGACCACAGTAGAGCAGGGAGAGGGAGTGCTGGGCAGAGCAGAGTGGGCTGACTGGGAGGTTCATTCTGGTGCTACCTAAGTTACATACTGTAGCTTTAGCACATTGGCTACACTGCTGATCATTCAGACATGTAGAGACTGACATTTGAACTATAAATGTGGGACTGTATGAATTTAAAACACTTATAGAATGGTATAACAGAATGAGATACTTGTTTATGCTACAGGCAGTATATAACGCTAAAAAGGAAGTTTCCATTTCCTCTTCTACTCACATATTACAATGAGGACACACAACAATACAGCTGTTTCCAGTATGTATAAACATCAACACAGTCTTGTTCACCTTTATCCTCCAGCAGATAATGCACATCTTAACTATTAGGCTCTGGAATAATCTCTGTGAATGACTGATAATATGACACCATAACTTAAATATCAGTTGTTAACCAGCTAATCTGTTGCAGCATCCTCTGTGTTGCAACCCCCACTACCAGTGTGTACAGCAGGCCATGGCTGCACCTGATTCCATTAAACCCTTCAGCCCAGATGAGACCCAGAGGATTCTGCATCATCTGCAACAGCCTACCGTCTTCATGAACATGACCCGTGGCTGGCCTGCTCTCCGCTGGACTGCAGAGCACCTGTCTGGCTGCCTTAGAGACAAAGTCATTCGATTCAGACTTGGGAGAAAAGAAGAGACAAAAAACAGTATGAACAGAAGATTCATTCAGACAGATGTGGTTTGAAATTGTTCCTGTGTAATTAATCACCTGGGTTGAACCTGTAGAATGAAATGAAGACTTATGTGACCAGACCAACCAGGCTCCCCACTCAGCCTGCCTATCAGGCTTGGCCTGTTGGAAAGATAGATCCATATAGGACTACAGTACAACATATATAATAAGAAAAGTTTTATTAGAGCAGAGAAAAATCACTTTACCACTAAAGATTTTGGTGAGTTTGGGTACAGCTTCCACCCTTGCATTTACCTGTTCTGTAAAATCTGAGGTTTTACTGTTTTCTAGTGTCCCAAAATATTTTTGGAAGCTTAGATTTATTTTTATTATTATCTAAATGAAATGTATCACCTGAAAACCTGATTTAGGAGTCATTTTAATGTGGTAAATGAATAAGCTCTCTCTGTTTTGTGCTCCTGAACACATCAGTGCACAGAGCCTCATATGGCACTACTCTAATTTCACCCAGTTGAACGCATAATAATTGCCTGCAGTTCTGTATAGTTCACCCTCTGACAAGCAATAATTTACAGATTAGACTAGTTAGCAGGATCTGATGATGTATTGGAAGCTGTTTAATTGTCAGATTTAAAAGGTCACATAAGTTAAAAAAACAGTTTGTGTCTTTGAGCATCTGGTGTGTTTTGCCCTCCATGTGGCTCTAAAACAACTGCAGTAATGACTCCTTCTGTGATGAATAACAGAGAGCATGTCCACTAATAAAAACTAGCTAATTAGAATTCTAAATAACAATTTTCAGCTGCACCATCTGACAGGAGGGCATTGCTCATGATGGATTATAAATGCAGACACTCAGCCATAGATATGCTTTATGTACTAAAACAAAAACAAGGGTAAATCACTACAATCGTGATTTATAAAAGTGGGTAAAACTAAATTTCATGCATCTGTGATGATGTGTAGTGCTGTGAGTCTGGTATATGAGTTTCTGTTCCAGTCATCGCTTTCTTTCTTGTATTTTCTCCTGCTCTCATAGCACCTTTGTTTGAAACCCAGTGTTCCTACGTGGAGGCCAAGCTGGTGCACTTTCTCAACTGGACCCAAACTCAGTCCAGGGCAGATGTAGGGCCTTTCTTTGAGTACCCCTACTCAGAATATTGGGCCTATGCTGACTACAAATACATCGCAATGCTGTTTCAAGATCAGCCTTCTATGTTTGAGGTAATCAGCCTCCTGCATTCTTATGTAAATGTTAAGATATCAAGTCAGTTTTATTACACTTCCTGGTGACTGAATGATAACTAGAAAGCTTTTTTTTTTGAGAAGCACGCAACTTTGTCTTATTAGTTTGATGATGGAAGTATTATAACCTTTCAAAGCTGTATTGTTGAATATCACAGCTGCCATTTTTATTCACCCTAACAGTAATTGTACTGTGTTTTCAGAATCAGTAGCTCAACAAACTGCATCTTGGGTTTTTGATGAAGAACATTTAGGCAGTATATGTCAGTCCCTGGCTTTATGAATGAAAGTTGTATTTTTGATAACATAGAGGCTCTAATATTAGAGATACATGTCAAAGAGTATGTTGACGTGAGGATTACAGTCTGCTGTGAAGTTCGATGTGCTCACATTCAGTAACACTGGTGAGGTGGGCCCCTGATATTGGATGAGGCCTGGCTCACAGTTGGCCCAGTTCCAAAGGTGTTGGATGGGGTCAGTGTCAGGGCTCTGTTAGGTTCTTTCACACCAAACCTGGAACTCCTTTATTAACATTACCTTGGGGGGCATTGTGTTGCAACAGAAAAGGGCCTTTGTTGGAAGCATACTGTTGTCTAAAATATTCTTGGACTGAAGGAAGCGTAAATAAAAAAACAGCACCAAAACAAAAAAGTATGTGGGTACTGGCAGTCATCTCTCTTAACCCAGAACTTGGATCCATTATTTTTCAAGCAGTACAGTCATTCTTAGATCATTTAGTTTTTCTATCAGCAAGTCTACATTGTAAGTTATGACTGACCAAATGTGACTCACTGTGTTTAATACTGCAGTCAGTCTGAGAACAAAGACGTTGATGTGCCAAGACTAACAGAGCAACAGATGTGCCATCAACACCGATGTGGTCATGACCATGAAATAGTGGATATATAACTTAAGGTAGCGCTAGCATGAAACTAGATCATTTAGTTTTTCTGTCAGCAAGTCTACATTGTAAGTTATGACCTTAGATCATTTAGTTTTTCTATCAGCAAGTCTACATTGTAAGTTATGACTGACCAAATGTGACTCACTGTGTTTAATACTGCAGTCAGTCTGAGAACAAAGACGTTGATGTGCCAAGACTAACAGAGCAACAGATGTGCCATCAACACCGATGTGGTCATGACCATGAAATAGTGGATATATAACTTAAGGTAGCGCTAGCATGAAACTTCAAATCAATTCACTTTGCTCCACTCCACCACACTCTGCCCAGCTCTTTAGATATTTGTCACTATGAAATCACAATAAATGAGAATGCAACAAAACTGACTGATCAAGCAGAAATAATTGAAAATCTCTGATTGCTGAGAAAGTTCACTCAGACACTCATATCTCTGCAGTGCTGTTCAATGAGTCTGGGTCACAGGAGGCTTCGACAGCTCCTCTCCACATTAAGACAAGTTCTGGAGCAGATTTCTTCAAAAAACATTTGAAAAATGTTACATACTGTAGCTTTAAGCGTCAAGCGAGAGCTTATATTGCATATACCAGTGGCCTATATACCAGTGGCCTCCCAGTATCAGATACGCTTTGTTACCAAACTAAAACAAATGAAATCCTTCATTATATATAAAAATTCACATGTAGTCTAAACAGGCAAAGTCAAAAATGTTATGAATGCCAAATGTTAAAGACATTTTCTTAGTTTAAAAACTATTTAGATACAATTACCATCTAATGTAGTTGTAACAACTTCAGCTAATCAACAACAGTTTAATGAAAGTACAAATATTCCTTTCTAGTCACTCCTTTTTTTCAAAATACTTATTTATATTCTCCTCACGTATTTCTTTTGGTTTTGACACTTTCAATTAAAATGTTAAGCTCATGACAACTCATATTGGCTGCTATTCTTGTCCTCCACTAGGTAAAGACATAAAAGTCACATCCTTTCATGAGCCACTGCTACACGTTCATTTCATTTTTACCTCAGGGATAAATTTTTATTATTACCTGCTGACATTCATGCCTTTGAAACAGGCAGACATGGGCTTATTACAGGATAAATGGTGCTGAAAGAACGCTTCCTGACGGCTAGATTGACCAGTCTGTCATTTACAGCTGCCTGCATGTACAGTATGGTAATGACTTCATCATTCTGCAATGCTACATTTTTGTGCTCTTGGCAGGACATGATTGACAGGCCAGTTTTTATTTAAAGACGACAACTGTACTGCAGCATGGTTTCTCCACACAGAGACCTCCATTGGTCGCCTTCAGTAGGCCCTGTCAAAGTAGCTGATGAGGTTAGGGTACATCTGTGACCTTATAGCACAGTTGTGAGTATTGTGTCCATCAGTTGATAATTGTCATTTGAATATGGTGTGTGTGTGTTGCAGGATGTAAAGTGGTCTGAGTTTGGTTTTGAAGGACGTGATGGAAAGGAGAGCACTTTATGGATCGGCACAGAGGGGGCCAATACACCATGCCACCTGGACTCTTATGGCTGTAACCTGGTACTGCAGGTACAAGGACGGTAAGGATCATAGCATGCATTTGCTGCTTTATATGCAACACAGTAGCCAGGTTATAAGTCAGTAATTTGGTGTCAAACACCACATAAATAAGAAACATTCTTATCTACATTTCTTTTATTGTGTTGAGGGACTAAAACAGAAAAGAAAATATTAAACAGTCTTAAAGAATGGCTCCTTTATTGCACATTTGGCTTATGGTTTACATGAAGTCAATCCTAGAAGGATGGTTTAAATAGTAAGTGCTGTTTCCTGTTTATCATACTACATTTCTTTGACTGTATTTGAAGTTCAACAAAACGTGGTACTCATTTCACAGATTAATTACAAAGGGTACAGATAGTTTTGTTCCTCCAGGTTTTTACATCTTCAAGCTACCTTTGGGATTCTTGTGTTGATAATTCTAAAGGTACAAACAGTCCATCTGTAGTTTTTAAATGTTATTTTAATGAGGTGTAACGATTACATGCATACCCTGGAAGTCGCTCCACCTGTCAAACACTGATCAGTGGTTGTTTTAATTATATATTTATCAGTAGAACAAGGACAGCTGAAACATTCCAGCATGTCTGAATCTAATAACTCTGCCTTTTACAACTGTATTGCCTCAAGTCAGAGCAAAAGATTTAACTGAATGCAGAACCAATCAAAACCAAGGCATAACTAATAGTCTTTGAACTGGTTATATGGTAAAATAGTCAAGGCAGTAAGAAATAGTTTAATGCTCTGCACTGCAGACCTAAAGCATATACTGCTTCAGAAATGTGGGACAGTGTAAGAGAGAGTCACTGTCTGCACACACAGCAAACAGAAAAGAATATAGGAAGAGATGTTCTCCCTGAGAGGTGTAACATAAAGAGTGACTCGTTCCTGTTGTACCTGTGATAATGGGTCTGTGCATTTAATAGAGAAGAGTTGTAAATGAGTAGAAAAAGGTTCATAATATCATACAACCGCAGCTATACTTCCTCAGTTTTCTGCTTGTTAGCCACCTTGGTCGTCTGCAACCCGAAAGGTGCCGAGTGCTGTAACTGCTGACATAGAATGTCATCTATCCTCTGCTCTCTGAAAGAGAGAGAATTTGTCGCAGAGCTCACCAGAGCGGAATGGAGACGGGGTGAGGCACACTGTGGAGCACTGTGAGTTAAGAAGCGAAAGGGAAAGGTCTCTGTATCTTATCTCCTGCTGTTGGCTTTATCTCAGTCCTTGTATTTGGGTCTCAAACTGTTTTATTTGGCATTAAGCTCAAATGGAGGCAGTTCTTTGACACTGCTGACCCATGAAAATACAACAGCACCGATTGATACCATGGCATTTGTGACGGCGGTGGATCAGATGAACAGATATTGGCAACAAGTGTTTTTAAACCATTCTCAAATTATTCAGGATGTAATTTGAGTTTCACGTTAGTGAAAACTGGATAGTTTTATATTGACTGATTTGCAGTTATTCTGATCATGACCCAGAATAACAAAGGGGTCAGAATCTTGATTCGTCCTATTAAAAATGACTGTTTGAGGTTTTGTTTTTTTAAATGTCATACCAAAAAGAAAATCCCAATTTTATTTTTGCTGTATTGATTGTCAACTCTAGGAGCCAGTGAGCAGAGAATATTATAACTCAGCATAAGATGTCTTTGATTAATTGAAGTAACCTATAATAAGAACATTTTCCTTCCTCTATTGGTGATTCTTATATTTGGTGCTCTTTTGTATTTATCCAAGTCAATATCAGCTCCATCACAGTTGTTTTAAAAATGTGTTCTGTCAGAGTGCAATAAAAGTTGTGTTTACAGTTTTGACATAAAACAAACCAATTAGCCCTAATTAGCATTAACTGACACTGAATTAATTCCTAATAACAGGCTTTGGCTGCTCTGCTAGTCTGAAATTGTGCCTGTAGAAACTGTGATGTTTCTTTGGAGCAGGAAGCGCTGGTACCTGTTTCCTCCAGAGGACACTGCTAACCTCTACCCAACCAGGATCCCGTACGAGGAGTCCAGTGTCTTCAGCCAAGTGAATGTGCTCCATCCAGACCTGAGGAGCTTCCCTTCCTTTCAGAGAGCCAGCGCCCACATCGTCACTCTGCAGCCAGGGCAGGTCAGGATTCTGGACACAACACAAAAATGCATGACGGAGACCAATTGATTAGCCAACTGACAGGAAAATACAATTAATTAAGTACCTTAGAAAATAGTTGGCAATATATTTGATAATGAAAATAATCAATTAGTTGCAGGCAGCCCCGAGGAAGGTTTTTATAAAAATGTAATAATTTGTAAAAGTTCAAAACAGCTTAAGAAACAAAATCTCAGTTTGTTCTCAGACAATTTTCACCTGTATTAAACTGTGAGCCCTGAGTCATGTATCATATCAAAGATCAAGCTGACGCCACATTAACATATTTGCATTTTTTAACAAACCTTGAATTAAGACAAATCAAACACATCTTTGTTTTGTGTTTTTCCAACATTAGAAACAACCAAGAATGAGTTACTGCAAACTGTAGTTCTACATTTGTGATGATCAGCTTGTGGCACAGAAGCAATAACCATAAGATATAGCTTTACTGGTCCTTAGACATGTAAAAGTAGACTCAGCAGTGACATTTATTTGTTGTAGTGTCTTCATTAAAAGTGTAAAGTGAGGCTGTGACTTGTGTTTCAATTCAAATCTGGCCTTCTCAGTTCCACCCTTATCACCTTCAACAGACTGGAGCTCTTATAAGAAAAGATGTGGAGGCTTAAGCTGCATTAAGGTCGACTGCATCATCACTCTTGATGTCTTGTCAAAGTCAGGAGATCAGCTGACTAATCAGTTTTAGAAGCAAGTGAATTCAGAATCAGTAAAGGTGTGATCGCGGAGTCATGCAGTGAGAAGGTGGCTTTCATGGTGCCCTCATTGTCCTCTACTACTTCTGAAGTACACAGGGAAAGTCTTCTGGAAGTATTTGTGCTACTTTGCTTAGTTTTAGATTCCAGCTGTATAGTTTTGTTCCTCAAGAGTCAAAACAGTGACAGTGCAATTAGCCATCTGTCTGTTTTTACTATCTGCTTGTGCTGGAGCTTCTGTAGCGTACTAATTACCCTCCTATCAGTCACCCCAAAGCCCGCTGGCTGGTGGCAGAGTGATGTGCAGGTCAGGGGCACTGTTGATACTGTGAGGCTTGTTTATTTTGTTTAGTGGAAACATATAAATCACTCTCTTTTTCTGGGTAAATCTGGTTCCAGAGTGTTGCTACCTTTTCTTTTATTTCTGCAGTGTTATCACTGTGGTTTTGATGTAAACACAGTAAGTCCTGGCCAGTTTTCCCACATGCCCTTGGTCACACAATAACAAGTAGTAGTAGGTAGTATATGGGAGGCAGAACATGAACCCTGTCTTGGTTACAGCCTGGCCTCCCTGAGTTTCCAGGGGTCACTCACAATCTCTAAAGCTCTGACTTTGACATCTTCCAGTTAATGACATTGGGCCTTTTATGCTTTTCTCCATACATTTGGAAATACATGGTCTTTTGATGCAGAATGGATAGTTTTGGTTTTCTAAAGCAATCATCTATAAGATGGCTCTACCTCTGCAAATCATATCAGAGGACAGATCATTCCTCTTGCTTTGTCAGGCAACAGACCACAAATGAATCAGGACTGCTGAGGATGCAGGGAATCAATAAGGGTCACCCATTTAATAGAGTCACTTTATGAATTGGTGAACCACTAACAATCTGTGGGTGAAAAGCTGTATGCTGCCATCTAGTGAAGCAAAGGGAGTGGGTGATGTCAGTGAACGTTTTATCTTCTCTGCTCAGGTGCTTTATGTCCCTAGACACTGGTGGCACTATGTGGAATCCGTGGATCCCATCACTGTCAGCATCAACTCCTGGATTGAGTTGGTAAGCAACCCTGCCCATCCTGAACTCATAACCTCAGGTAATGATAATATGCTCTATGATTTTCAGACAAACATGAGATACGTTAGCTGTCCTCCTCTTTACCCTGGAGAGGCCCTGCTCTGGTCGATTGGGGTTGATTGTTCCCAGATGAGGGCCCCTCTCGGCTTTGAGTAATGAACTGGCCTGGCAGTAAAAGATTCCCTGTCATTGTGATGAGTGTTTGTGCACAACAAGGAGTGTGTACCGCATGAGAAAAGCTCCCTGCTGCCAGACAAATGTTTATTCAAAGAGCAGCTCTCTGTGCAAGGTCACCGACGCAACAGACTGTGCCTGCAGCGTTACACAAGACTGTCTTTGTCAAACTGCACTTACCTTAATATGCAGTACTCATTCTTGCTACGTTTGGCTTTCTGTACCTGCACAGGGAGAAGATGACTTTGCAAGAGTTAGTGAAGCTGTGACCAAGGCTGTCGTCTGTGCTATTAAAAGTGCTCAGAGTGATGACAGCACTGACAACTGGCTCAACCCCACTGAGGTAGCAAATTAATTCTCACCGCTGTTAATAACTCCCTCAAATTAACAGCTCTCTTATTTCTTACTGCTGCTTCTTGTTTGTGTATAGCAGGTACACTGTGGGTGGGTACCATCCTCTGAGCTACCACAAGAACACTTCTTCGTTAAAGATGAACAGGGGGATGTGGTTTGTGGGATGATGTATTGTTCACCAGCTTGCAGTAGAACTGTGTTCTGTTTTGTTTTGCAAAATTACATAGATAAATCAGAGCAAGAATTAACTTAAGAAACTAGCAATCAGTTTATTTGTTCAAGTTTTTGTTTTACTTGTCCCTACCTATATTTGGCCTTTCCTGTCCTCTGTCATTGTGCAACATCAGTGGTGTGAAATGTAACTGACATCTGTGCTTGACCCTGACAGAATACAGACCTCTATGAGCCTGTCTGAGACAGATTACTAACCACTGTACATCCCACACCTTCCACTGTCAGACAGCTTCTGTGTATATTTATCCTACCTACAGGAGGTCAGTTACTGTGTAGTCACCATGAACTGCTGCACAGAACCACGTATGTTAGGGAGAAGCTAATGCACCTGGATGCTGCAAATCAAGAAGAGGGACTGCACTTCAGTCTAGACAGCGGTCACATAATTGTGTTATACTGGAGTTATTAGACGTAAAACTAAGAAAATTGTATAGAATTGTAGAATTTATAGGGTTTCACACATTATTACAGACACGGTAGAAAAAGCAACCACCAGTTGTAATGAGGCTTCAGGATTCAGCCTCAGAATGAAACGGTGCCTTATACTTGAAACATTATCATCATGTTAAGTTAGCAGCCCTTTTACATGTCCTCCCCCAGAAATGTATTGAAATGTGGCTATAGGCAGATACTTAGTTGGAAACTGCAGCTTAAGGAATGTCTGTGTTGTTTCTGCAGGAAGGAGTAGCATCCCATAAAGAGAACATGCAGTATGTGAACCTGGCACTTAGGGCTTGTGCCCAAAGACAGAAGGACCTCTGCCACAGCAAACTGAACCAGGAGCTGAGAGCGAGTGGTCCAGTCAAGCGGGACTCCAGAGGACAAGTCAAGAAAAACGATGACTCGATGAAGGATTCTGCACCCTTCAATATTCCCTTTGGGCCACATCTCATCCCTGTGTGCTGTCAGCAAGAGGACTTACCAGAAAAGAGGGGGGTGACCCCTAAAGATCTGGAAGTTAAATCTTCCAGGAGCAGTGCAGGCAAATCTGCTGAGCATTGTTCTGTCAGCTCAGGTGCAGCTTTGAGAACTGAGCCTACATCTGCTGTCAGACTCCACCAGGGAAAACATGAGTGTAGCCCTGGTTTAACTCAAAGTAGAACATCTGACTGTACTGATGAGATGTCAGAGAACTCTTTAGAGGATTATGAGGAGTCAAGACATGTAATAATAAGCACTAATGACCTGTTAGACTGCCTGGTGCATCCTGATATCATCAGCCATGTCACTGAGCTTTTACTGGAAAGGCACACAGAAGGTCACAGGACCTCTGCACCACTGTAGCTTTAATATTCACCAACTGTAAACATGTAATAAGAGTATGAGGAAGATGAGCTCTTCCCTGGCCTTGTAATGCCCTAGTTTCAGGAGTGATTTCTAGGTCTTGATCATAAAAGTATCTGGATGAAGCTGCCCAAGCTTTTTTCCTCTTGATGTCTCACTGGAGTTTGCAGTGACAGCGATCTATCCAAGTTAATGGTAATGCTTTGGTGTCAGTAAGAGAGGAAAGATAAAGATTAATGCAGAGTTTCACCCTACTTTTCTTTCTCCTTTCATTTGTTAAGGTCCTCCTGAGATTGACCCCAGATGTGAGAAGTCACAGCCAAAACTAATCATAATGCAATGAGCAATCCCATCGAGTGGCTCCAACATGTCCTTGTGTTGTCCTGCACATGCTAATCCAGTTTGGTTCTTCCAGAATAAGAAAAATGACCACTGAAATCAATCTAGGATGCTAATAAGCCCAACAGTGTTTGGTAACATTCCTGGGATGTGTGCATTTCTTTTCTGCATAATGCTCGTCTGTCATTTATCAATAGGAATTGTCATTGAACAGGCACAGAGGGCTGATCGTAATGATTTGATGACTGATGAGCGCTGTGTACAGAGCGGTGAATAAAAAGAGTGTTCGATTAGTCTGCTGCCACCGTCACATCTCAAAGGACAATGGAAGGATGAGTAGAATAAAAGTAATCATTCTGAAAATGAACATAGTCACTGATTCTACATAACACAATGTATTGTGACACAAATTTGTTATAGTCATGGAAAATGAAAAATATGATAATGCACATTTTAATCATTTAAATTTCCAGCAGCACAAAAACATTTTAGCATCACAACTGTCCCTTTACAGATTGTAATAGGAACCAACATAATCTACACTTTTCCCTGAATACAAAGTTTTCATCAAGTATTGTTTGACATTAAAGGACCGTACAGTAGGTTTGGCTTGTTCTAGGACATGAACAACAATAAAATACTTCAATAGAGCTTTTTCCACAGGAAACATCTTGTCACAGTAAGAAAAGCACAGGTTTACTAATAACGTTAACAGTCATGACACGGGTCAATCCCAGTTCCTGTACTTTATCTTTCCTCGATCCTTGCTCACCATCTTGAAGGAAATGCTGAGTAAGGATACAAGAGAACATCCACTGCAACATGCCAAAGTCATTTATAGACTGACACGCCTCTTGATCAGGAATAACTTAATGACTGGATGCTTCAGATGAAGGACGTCTCTGTGAACACATTTCCTTGATTCCACTGTCACATTTTTTCCTTGTATCTTACATGGGTGGGATTAAGAAACAATGAAAAGATCCAAGTGAGGGAAATGTGGATGCAATTAAGGGAACTGGGATTTACCTGGTGAGCCAGGAAGGAACAATACAAGGACCTTGAAACTGGAGCAGTGAAACATGACTGAGCTTTCATGAATTATTATTTACACATGTGCTATTCCTACTGTGATGTCTCAAAATATCATCTGTGAAAAAGTATAAAGTACTATACTTTTTTATTTCCTACCTGCCTGATTTTGCAGGGACTGTGAAAGTTGATCCCTCACAGCGAACTGTATGTTGTTCAGCTCCAAGTAGGAACTGGTCCATGTGATCAGCAGCGCTATCATGTCAAACGTTTCGAAGGAACTAGCTTTGTTTTCAGGAAACTGGATCAGAAGTCAGACAATAACAGCATTCTGAGAAACAAATAAGAATTTGGCTCATTCTTGTATGGAAAGGTTGCTACCAGCAGCAAGTGGACTTTTCATAACAATCTCCACTTGCAGCTGTCACTCCCAAAAATTAGGCTACAATTTTTCACTGTGATGCATTTAACATTAACATACAAGTGCATTTTAGAGAAACTCGTAAGAGAAACATGCTGTGGAAACATGAAAAACCACCAGCAACTGCTGTCCTAGTATCGTTGAAGGCACACAACAGAAACATTTTTCCAACTTGTTCTGTCAAAGACAGTTCTGATTATTATTTGGCATCATAAAAAAATATATTGACTGTTAATATGCAACAGATATGCACAGCATATTAATAGCACTGTTGATCGTGGAGGGAAAAAAAAAATCACATTTTGCATCTTTGACGCATTATTTTAAGCGTTCAATCTCAATCAGAAAATTAATTCCTGTGCTTTTTGTATGTGACTGGAGTGTCAAAGGCTTCAGATATTATGTGATGGCACAAACCAATGGACTTCTAACCCTCAAGAAAAGTCCAGACATCACATCTTAGTGCTTCATTTTTACTATAACAAACAAAAGAATATATAGTCGAATCGCTGACTGTCCAATACTTCACCTTGTGTAGCCAGATCGAATCAGCTACAGCAAAGACGACGACATGTGTACGGTTACATTCTGGTGTTCTTCCTTTTTTCATTCATGTATATGTCATTCGTTTTTTTCTTCATCTTATCATCATCTTCCTCCCTGACTGATTCCTCCAGATAGAGCTTGTCCAGCTGATCAGGGTCAACATAAGTGTAGAAGTAGGCCATGATAGAGAAGATGATGAAGACGCCCAACAGCAGGCCGGCAAACAGCAAGAACTCTTTCCACTATGACAACAAATAGGAACAATTATAAACTGTGTATAAACTCTACCGGGTTGAGAAAGATTCAGTTTACTCTTGGATGTTTGCTGCAAGTTTAAATGCTTGTAGCATTTTATGATAAATGGGTTCAGTTGCAGATGTTTTTTTTAAAGAGTAATAAAAATGAGGTTATGTAGAATTGATATGATTATAAATAGAGATTTAAAAAGTTTTCTTAGAAGGCTGATTTACCCAAATTACAAAAAAACAACATACTTCTCACTTACCTGTAGTGGTAAATAGATGGGCAGATATTTGTCTTTGAGATTTGAAAAATATGAATTCAAATACAGGTGAAAAAGATAGTGGAACTCTGATAGATGAAAACCACTATTTGCACTGCTGCATACTAATACAAAGAAGCAAGAAACTGATCTTTTTGTAATTTGGGGGAACTGACACTTTTAAAAGTTTACTCTTACACAAACTATGTATTTACAGTGTGATGTGGAGGTATGTATTGTATCCCCTCCTTCCTTATATGTTGTAAGGGGTTTTAATGTCTCCTTGAACGTTGTGTGAAGTCGTACCTGCTCCAGTCCCGCCCCCTCTGCCACAATCAGCACTATCACATTCCCAAATGCGACAGTGAGCAGCCAGCCGGCCTGCAGCACTGACTTCATATTGGCTGGGGCCTGAGGGGAACAAAGATCCTTTGTTAGTACAGACTGGTGACAACAAGCAACCTGGGGTCACACAAATCTTTAAGGCTTCCATGAGTATTTCTCTTTTTTAAAGACTGTTGGGGGTGGAATTCCCAAGTTTCATAGTGAGAGAAATAAACTTCAAAATGCCCATAGAAACCTGTCAGACTACTCCAGCACCACAATGTTCTTCACTGCCCATTTGGATGCTCACCATGATCCAAACACATGCATTCAGCCATAATTTGGGGAGAATGTTAATGTGTATAGTTTACATTATGCAGATTAACAGTGGAAAGGTAAACTTGATCTGATAAACTACTATGGGCATTTTGAATTTACTGTGTGTTTCCAACAGCCTTGCCTAGCACAGATTCAGGACAGTAAACCTATGGTCACAAACTGAATCTTACAATCTGTCTACGACCACCTCCTCCCATCTGCTCCTTTGACGTCTAAAAACTACAAATCTTCGCCCCATTTTGAGGTAGTGAGTGTGATGACAAACCTGTGAGTAGGAGAACTCCAAGCCTGTAATGGAGAACATGACCTCTCCAGCAGTTATGAGCACGTACTGGGGGACCTGCCAGGCAATGTGCACGTTGTTGGCTTTCACATCCTCCATCTTGTGAGCCACAGTTTGACCCGCTTTCTGACAAAGCCGAGGGTGATGACGTCATGAGTATAGATAACTTTTCAAATCTTTGTGTAAGTGTTATTTGTGCGGCTGGCATCCTGACCTCAGTTAGTATGACAGTGTAGGAAGCTCCAAAGTCCAGCAGGCCCAGGTCAAGTGTAGAGCACTTATCCAGCTGTGAGCAGCAGGCAACATCTGGGTATCTACAGAACCCAGAAGCAGGAAGTAAACCACATACTGTAGCATGGTTAAAAACAATGTAATATCTTTCTTTATTTAAGCCTAAATGATGAACTACATACGAGTCGAGTTAAAAAGTCACATCACACATGAAATCAGTTATTTCATCGAAGAGCTGAAAGGTGGAGTTATTCTGTGCTTCTGGAAGTAAAAGCTTCAATTTCTGCATGAGCATTAGTCAAATGACAATGATCTTTCAATACAGAGCCAAAGTGAACCCAGAACTTCCAGATTCTGTTTCAGAAGTGATTTTACTTAACAGCATGTCATGAAACTCATCATGGAATGTCAATTAAAAATAAAAACAACGTAATATCTTTCTTTATTTAAGCCTAAAATATGTTTTAAGATGATATGATAAACTTGTTAGCCAATGGTTTTCTATTTCTACATTTATTTAGAGCTGTGTTTGTGTCCACCTGATGAATACATTTTGGTCTCCACCAATTCCTACAGAAAATATCTAACTTTGTTGTTTGATGATGTACAATCAGTGAGTTTTAGGAGCTTTTGTGCTACAGCTGCCAAAACTCAGAGCTACAAGACCAATGGGATCGAACCAAACGTACAGATAAAACAGCTCTATAATTTCTATGATAAGGAACTAAATTTTCCATGAACCTTTGACATATGTCACGGCTTCTTGAATAGCAGCAGCAGCAACGTAATAACACCGAACGTTTGTACACTTTTATTGTACAGATGTACTGGTAAAAGAAATGCTATAATTGGAGTCCACTTGGAAAGTCTCTCTTCCAACAGTAAGGTTTACTGCCTCCACGTCTGTGTTAACAAATCTGTTAAATGTGAATCAGAAATCATGATCAAACTTATCTGATTAATCAAGTTGATTAATTTGACCTACATTTTTTTAAACTGAAGAGAAATTCTTACTTTGAGGCCGAGTGTACAATGTTTTACACTGTAGGGATAAAAATGAAACGTCTTTTACCTCAGAAGTGGATCTCCATTTTCATTTTTCTTTATGAAGTCTTCCACCTGTCAAGCAGAGCCTGTCAGTATCATGAACTTCTATATTTCACTTATTTGTGCTGTTCTTTCAGTGCTGTAATAGAACATTTTAACTTTACAGTTGTACGTTTGCTCAGCACTTGAAGTAAATGCCAAGACGACCATCAAGTCAAGCTGATGAACAAGATTAATTGGTTTCTTGAGTTTTAAATAAAACCCAAAAATCTTTTCAACATTTTAACTTCTTATTTTGTCAAGAATATTTAACACTTTTGAAAACACTCACAAGTTTGCACTGGATCCCACTAGTGCTGGAGTATAAGAAGAGACTGTAAGCCTTTTGTTGTTCAAACATCTGGTTACACTGGGAGGTGTTTCCTTTGAACAGAACTTCAATCTTCAGCTCCATGCTGGAGTTCTCCAGGGGAAGTGTCTTGTATTCAGGAGGGTCCTGACACAGAGGGACCACAGGGTTAATATTCAGGTTCTTTACAAACTCTTCACTGTTTGAAAAACCTCATCAGGCAGTGGAAGACAGACATTCCTTTGTCTGTTGAGTTTCTACCTTAGTTTTTTAAGATTCATTTATTAGTACTGCTTAGAAAACACATCTATCAGCCTCATAGTATACGATATAAATCCTCCAGTGAAGTTGCTGGAATAGAGAAAGAAGCTGAAAAAGTGCAAGTTCAAGTTAATTTAGCTTAGTGGGTTCATTACACTGCAAAATAAAACTGTTCAAACAGACAAAATGAGCTTTAAAAGTCACCAATGCTTTGGAAAACAACCAAAACAAATAAAGTGTGCCTTTATTACAGTATGAGCCAACAGTATACAACCATACCCTCAGGCTTTTGTGTGTAATGGTAAACTGAATGCTTACAGTTTTACATGATCTTTTTGATCTTATTCAGTCTGTTTATTCTCTCTATTATACTGTATATAACATTATGTATTGTGCAGCTGTATATGCTGCTGCTGTCTCAACAAGGACACACTCCTGCAAAATAAACTATTTATCTCAGTGAGGAACTTCCTGGTTAAACTGAGATATTAGTGTGTAAAGAGGATGATGAACCGTGCAGGTGGCAACGCTCTCACATAGCAAACACATTTTCATGTGCATTCAGACCTCCAAACTTAGGGTCTACAGTTGTTTCAAATGCAAAAACAGGCAAAACAAAACAAAACAAAACAATATATACATATGCATTTCAGAATAATAGGGTCACTGTGGTCTTTGTACTGTCCTGCAGCCACACTGAATAGTATAAAAGCATTTTCATTCCTCTGTCTGGTTACCTGAAGGTAGTGGATTGGCTCAGGAAACAGGTCGGGAGTCTTCATGCTGACGTCACCTTCTGCCAGGTTGAAAACCTGCAGGAGACATTTCCCTGCAGGTGGGGGATCCACCACTGTTTTCTAGCAGATGGAGAAGGAAACCAGAGCAGCATTCTGATAAATATCAGAGAATACAGTGCATTCAAGACAATATCATGTGACTCTTTAGATACAGTAGGATTTTTAAAGCGTAGCTTTAACACTAGTTTCCATGTTCATTTTTATTTACAGTTTAATGGCCAGAGTTGGAAAACAACATTTTGTTTTCAGAAACAATAGGCAAAGCTGCACATTTACTGCTCATAAATAAATATATTTAGAGATAGAAATATGCACAGATTTGGCCAGGATGATTATACAACGTTTTCATAGTGACTCATCAGGGTTAACACTCTACAGGCAGCTCTCCGAGGCTGTATGTAGCCACAACGGTGCCATGACATATATGCTAACATCAGCATGCTAACAGTGTGATATTAGCATGTTGTTAACATGCTATCATTTACTAAATATTAGTGAACACAGAGTAAAGCTGTGACCAATGAGAATGACATTAGAAAAATTATTCTGGTGAATATATTTGTTACTTCTGGCTCAATGTACACCAGGTTCCTCAGCCTGAGTCCAGTCCACATATAGCATGACTGTCTGATGCTACTTCCACAGCTGGTGCACACATATAACTTGCTGGTTGTCAGACAACACTGGAGGGTGTAGAAAGAAATTCTTCATAAAATGATATAGTGCTATGTTATGTATTTGCAAAACTGTTCAAATACTTGTTTAATCTGTGTGACCTTTGTAAAGATTTGACCTGTGGACATGAAATGCTGGAAGGAGGTGCAGAGAGACTCAGAACAGCTGGAAGTCGTGCAGATACATACTGAGATGACTAAACTGTCTGCACGAGAATAGTGTGTGGATGTAAGGTCTGATTGTCTCGGCTTCAGATTATCAACATTATATGAAATTCTAGGATTGACATTATAATCTGCATTAGCAAATATATCTACAAGTTTACTTTAGTATCATATGCTTTATGATCTACTTTTGCTTTAACCAGTTCACTTGTCTTTAAGAATATAGGAGACATGTGTAAGGCTGTAAGAGTAGACAGGAAACCACACAGAACAGGAAGTAGACCGCGGTTGCATAGCAACGCTCAAGGTGCTTCCTCTAAAACTGTCTATTGAAAGGTCAGGATGTGTGGTACTGAGAATGTCACAGATCAAAATCTGCCTGGCGACAAGATTACCAAATGAGGGGTCAGAACGAGGTCAAGAAACCAACCAAGGAACGAGGATGAAGGACAACGCGGATGACGTCAGATCATTTGCATGACTGTATTATAAATTCTCTATGCAGAGGAAACTCGTGGTTCCGGCTTCCTGCAGCAGCTATGCACTATACTTCTGTGTGGTAGGGCTTCAGAAAGAGACGGAATCCAGAGCTCTGTATTGCTTTTCTTGAATATTCTTTCTTAAATATTGATTGTAATAAATATCTCAAATGTCAACAAGGGCAACAACCAGACTGAGCCTGGATGTAAAAGCATATAGGACCAACTCAATCCAAGGACCGCAGCTTTTACTGGGCCAGAAGCTTTCACCAGAAAAAAATATTTCATCCAAGTACTGGGCAAATGTTGACCTGATGATGGCGCCAAGGTTTTACACTTCTTTCTCTGGGGACTATGAATGCCAAACAAATATCACAACAGGACGACTTAAACAATCACAAACGTCATTAGGATCATCCTAAATGGGCATAAATGTCTAAAAATGCCCAAACAATCAGTCTAATAGCTGTTGAAATGTTTTGGTCTGGATCAAAGGTGGGGACCGACATCCCAACCCAGATCACAGTACAAAACATAACGGGAAGCTTCCCATGTGGTTTCACTTTACCCCATAAAAACAGTTCTAATTTCAGCTACTGGGTGCTATGAGACCCTGGACAAAAATAAATTGAGGGGCTTGTGACAATTTACACAACAACCTAACTGTAAAGCCGGCTCAGTGTTTTCAGGACATTTGGTCAGTGTTGTTTTCTTCCAGGACCGAAATGCTGCATTTAAAAAAATGTAAAGATTTCCATGTGACTCCATGTAAAGAGTCCATGTGACTCCAAATTACCTGGGGTGAGCATGGGTGTGTGTGGTTGTCTGTCTCTTTGTGTCAGATAGACTGACGGCCTGTCCAGGGTGTACCCTGCCTCTGGCCCAATGTCAGCTGGCATAATCTCCAGCCCCTCACAAACAGATGGATGGATGCATCTGTGTACATGCATTTTCAGTTCTCTGGCTGAAAGTGCATGGCCACAAGGGTTTTGGCAAGTGTATCAAGAGGAAAGAGCCGTGATTGCTGCTCATACGCACCACAACGTTCACCTCCACCAGTGTGGCTGCTCCAAAGGCCAGTGCTGCAAAAACCATCCCTGTGGCCATTTTCCTTAGGGGCCTGAAGACACACAGGGTGTCACTGACAGACAACAAGTCATTGCACATATACATTTCCATATCGATGCCCCTGCTGATCTGACTGTTGAGAAACAGCCTCATCACTTGTTTCCACACAATACTGTCTGTTCATGTCCTTTATCACCTCAGTTATTTTCTTTAAAAAATACATCAGATAACAAAGCTTTGTGCTATTTGGGCATTAAACCACCTAAACCACATTTTTACACCTGAAAGTACTTTTTGTTCCCCTTTCCTAAGAAATAAATACTGAAATTTGATCATTTATTCTACAATAGACAATGAGTCCCACTCCTCATATTTACATCTGTAAATCGTGCATGTGTCCTCATGTGTTTGCTCTTTATACTGGGGTATAATGTAAGGTCACATGACTCATCTTCCCAGATTAAGAGGCTTTTTAAATGCTTGTGTCTGCAATAAAGATGTCCAAAACAACAGGCTACTACTCACTTCATGTTGATTCTGCAGAGGCCAATGAGTGGGTATACAATGAAGTCAAAGATGGGCACAAAGACAAGAATGAGCAGAGGATTCAGCATCTAGACAACAGGAAGAGAAACTCACCTTTATGTGAATATAAAAGTTGATTACAACTCATAAAACCATAAAATCTGGAGTTACACAAAAACAAAGACATTAAAACAAATTCTAATTCAGTATCACCAGTAATAAAACAACAAGGTGGCTGAGATAAGCAGCTATACTGACGATACACTGGTGTGTTTTCATTGGAAATGAACATCAGTTGTATCCTGAACATTAAAACTACGTTTCTGGTTGGATGGCAAGTTTCTCATCTCATCTAAATCAATTTTCCCAGTATTTGGACAGCAGTATATTATTGTGCTGTACTCTAAAATACTGTAGATAGAGCTGAACAATACATGACCCTTGTTTACATATAGCAGTCCTCTAATTTAGGTCGACATGGACCCTACCCTTCCAGTCAAGGCAAACATTTAGTCTTTATGGTCCAAATGTGTCGTCATTACTTAATGTTTATCCAGTCACATGCTGTTTGGACTGTATAAAAGGCCTGAATTGGATTTAACGACCACATAAAAGTCAACCTTTACCATCATAACCATCTTTTACACCCACACACAAGAAGGGAATCTTGTAAATGAGTGCAGAAATCACAATGTGACATCCAATCTTGTGTCTGAAGCACGCTGATCAACAGACACAGCTCGGTTAGGTTTTGATTCACATGACATCCATTCTTGAATTTTAACCTACATTTCATTAACTGGTTCAGTTTTTTTTTACCCTGTAGCCCAGGACATCAGATTTTAAATGAATGAACCCCTTGAAACCCAGTTCTCCCTCTTGTCGGACAGCTATGCTATAATTCCAGTTAAAGCTTCATGATGACGTTCAAAGTTCATTCTTTACCTTGGAAACAGAGGTGATATTATATAAAAACCACCCTATCACTGGGTTTTCAGATTTCACGGAACTGAAGATTTACAGTTATACATCTTAATTATTTTATAATGTATGAATCAATCTTTTTTTCTAAGCACTCTGAGGAATAAATGTCTGCACACCTCACACTTGTACTACACTTTGCCCAGTTAGAGAACAAAAACAGACTGTAAACATCTGTTTTTAAAGGTTCTATGTTTTAGTGACACTGAGGTTAGTTTCACCGGTTTGGAACTGGTTAAATCCACCTCATTCCTAAAATTCCTGTACTGGGACAGTGTGTCTGAAATGATGGCTTATGACGAACACACAGAATAGATCCCACAAAGGGCTGAAGGACGTGCACGTACCTGCATTTGGTCAGGCTTAATAGTGAATGTATTCCCCTGTAACAAAACAAGATGATTTCAGCTGGACAGGACTAACTTCATACACATAAACCTGAGGCGTGCATGATTTATCAAGAGCACGAACAATGACATTTACTGAAATAAAATGACAAACAGTAACATCCCATAGAGAGAACAGTGTGTGTAACCAGATGGATTTCACAAGCCACCCTCTGATGTCAAAGTGCACAATAAAATGTGTTATCAGTGTTTTGAAGTTTTGACACTGTTGTTACTTTATGTAAGAAAACTTACAAAAGCCAAGTTCATCCTCGTGGCCTGAAGTGTCCAGCGTGAACCCTGCAACAAGGAAAAACACTGACTGTTGTTAAACCATTTTAAGGCAAAAGCTTCACTGTAACAAGCTTAGCTGCGCAAATCTTCAACCACAGCAGACCTCTGTTTGTTTTCCTGGAGGGGATAACAAAGCAGAAATGGTACAGGGCTAATCAGCCTTCCAAGGAAACGAGAAAAGAGTTCAGGAGGAGTCAAATTCAGGAGCGTTTGGCACGGTTTCGAGGCTTTCCATAATCACATGGTTGTGGTCAGAGGAGACAACATGTAGTTATAGGCTTTGTGACTGACTGGCTGACTGTGTGTGGACAGTCACCAATAACTGAATGTGATACTACGATTTAAAAGATTTAAGAATCAACAATGCTGCCTTCATCCGCTCATTCTAAGCCGTCGCTGAAACTCTGCTTTAAGGCCTCCATTTTTTCAAAGACTAAATCACCATTTAGCTAAATATGCCTATTTACCTTCAGCTGAACAGACATTTTAATGTCAGCCAGCAGCTGGTTAGGTTAGCTTAGCATAAAGCTGAAAGACTGGAATGTCATACCCGTGGAATGACACTAATGGTGATGCCATCAGTGTGGTAGGTATGTGATCACCATAGTATTAGGAAAAAAATGACTTGATGATGGATGAAGTTAATCATCCTGAGGAGCATCTGAACCAAATATCAATCCATATAAGAGTTGTTGAGACGTACTATATCAGGAACATCTGAACCAAATATCAATCCATGTAAGAGTTGTTGAGACGTACTATATCAGCCCAAGCCAAAAACACTGACCAACATTTGCCACCAATAGACCATCTTTTGACGTTTACTTTAGCACGTGGTGCATGAATTATGGAGCTGGGACATAAAGAGAGGAGCTCTTGTTGTGAAAGATCTTACAGTAAGTCTTTTGTCTTCACATACCTGCTGATCGAACAGAGCCCAGAACATCGGCAGTGGGATGTAAAGCACTAGGACTCGCAGAACCATCTTAATTTCCTGGATCAGACGCTTCTGTTGGTACACAAACACATAGACTGGATAGATTAGATAGATTATTGCTGCAGTCGAGGGACAAATGCTCTTCTGACTCTTCTGAATGTGATCTTCAGAAAAGAGTGGTGGACAAATTCAAATCATTGTGTCTTTTCTACCGAGTATTTCTCGTCAGCCCAGTCCAACCAGTGCTTCCTCTGAGGCTCCTGCTTCGAGTTCTTCCAGCGGTTTTTAATGGCAAACTACAAAACAAAAGTTGAAGCAGGAACAAAACAAAAATGTGAAGCAATGCGTAAAATATTTCTGCTTATTATACTACAAAATGATTCATGAGAGTCAATAGCACAAAATCAATATGTCTGCATCTTAATAAACCATCTGACAGGGCCGGGGACAACTGGGACAGGACTCACTCCAATGCAGTTGCAGACTTGCAACAGGATGTTTCCCTGGGGAGGATTCCTCTTGTACAGCCCACTGCCACCAATGAACACCACTGCACAAAATGGATGAAGAGTTAGCCCTGACTGAAAACGGTTTACGTTGGAAATAACTCGGCTGTTGTGCGAAGAATTACTCTACTTGCCTGGTATAAAAAGTATCGCTATGCTTTTTTCAGCTTGCAGTAATATATCCATAAATTAGGATGAGGTACAGTACAAACAAGTGCAGACTCTAAGAGTCATTCACCTTTTAAAGACACTGGCTTCCAGTGGCTTATGACACACTTCAGAGTAATAAATCCTAACATGTTGCACACACGCTTCAGGCCTGGAACACTGATGTACATATTGCACATCACTCTCACTGCGATCTGCCTCTCCAGTACTTTGTTTTCACAGTGAGCAGTCACCCGAGCACGAATCCCACAGGGATTAGAGGTGACAGGGATTCAGATGCAGAGACAGCCGACTGTCAGGGCGTATGTGGCCGGGCTTTGATCCAAGGCTGGACTTCACTCTGTAAAAACATGCTCTCGCCATGTAGACGCAGCACGAACCAAGCTTGTTTGTTTGGTCTCCAATAGTACAAATGAGTCATTGCAGCCTGGAGCCATTTATGTTTTGTTTTACCTTCTGCAGAGAACAAAAAGAAGTCTCGCACGAACCAAGCTTGTTTGTTTGGTCTCCAATAGTACAAATGAGTCATTGCAGCCTGGAGCCATTTATGTTTTGTTTTACCTTCTGCAGAGAACAAAAAGAAGAAGGCACATATTTGCATTTTCCATCCATACAGCTTGTTGTGAGGTCACACTCACTGTACGAGCTACAGTGATCATTTCTTGGCCACTGAGCAGCTCCAGGGTTTCACTGCTTTGAGAAAGTATCACAGCTCCACTGATATATGGTAAAACCATTTGCTGCATCTCTATCAATACATATTTTATCAAATAAGTACAAACATATTTATAGGCTGTATTTCTCATCCTTATTTGTCTTAACTCAGCTTTAGCATAATTCCC